AAAAAAAAAACACACACACGTACACAAATATTTTTTTATAAAAAAGAGAATGTTGTAGGAATATGACTGCTGGTATAACTCATCTTTTGTATTTACCAAATCCCTGTTACATAATGTACAAAAAAATTCCGTGGGGTAGGAGAGTTGACCTTGTGATATTGTCGACTTTGAATGAGAAATCGTCCGTCACTGGAAGGGAGGAGAGTTTTTTTTTTTTTTTTTTTTTTCTTCTCAAGTGATGAAAGCATTCTAACAAGTCAAGCATGAGAGTGGCTGTTTGCCTTCCGCAACACCTCCTTTAGAACAAAGGCAATTCTCTCGGACATGTGGTGCTCCAAGAACCTCTCTTTCACCCTCTCGTATCCTTTCTTTCCCATTGTCAGTCTCTTTTCTACATGTGTGGCTAATTTCACAATGTTATTTGCAAGTGGTGTCACGCCTTCTTTCCCAACTGGATGCAACAGGCCTGTTGTTCCATTCACCACTATCTCCATGGTGCCTCCAGCTGCAGTGCCCTGAGTATCCGCCAATCATTGAAAAGATCAATCAGATTATTAGTAAACCAGTAAAGATATGGTATATATGTCAATTGTTACAGTGTTACATAACTACAAAGACAATGACACCCAAAGATCTACAAGAATGATGTGAACTGGTAATAAACACAAATTATCTGTCCCATATTTACGAACAAATCTTAGGATGAAACTCAAAGAACAACTGTGTAGGCAGATAGAAGAGAAATGCATTCATAAAAAGTTGGCATCAGATCTGAAATGCTAACTGGAAATGAGAAACACAAAGATTAATGACAAAATAAGCTGGGTTAAAAACTGTAATGGTTGGCAATTGAATGAATAACTGAGGATACTAGAAGCAAAACATGGAACCCATGGAAAGTGAAAACTGAGGTCCAGAAAGAAAAACATACTAAATACCATAGACCTTACCAGTACAGGGAGCTGAAAGGCCATAGCTTCTATGGTTATTCTCCCAAAACACTCTCCATGGGCCTACAAGTAGTCAAAATACATTCAACAACCATACACTCAAAATATAGAACAAATATTGATGTTGCTTCCTAGAAAAATAGCCAGATAGCATACCTGAGAGTTCTGAACAAGAACATCAATAGAAGCCAAATAGGGAGCTACTGCCAAGGTTTTATTAACAAAGTGGACACGGTCATGAATTTTCTTCTCCAATACAAAGTTACGTAGTTCTGTTTCAAACTTCATCTGAGCATTCATGTCACTTCCCACAATTACTGCATGCAAAGATGGCACCTGTAGTTTCTTCTCCTGGATCAACTGCAAACTTTCATGAAAGGCATGGAGAAATAAATCCTGACCTTTGCCCCGCGAAACACCTGCAGAGTAGTGCTTAATGCTCAGAAGACATATAAACAGTGTAGAAGCATTTTGAATAGATGTAAAATTATAGTCAGCGGTAAATAGAAAAAAAGATAAATAAAATATAAAATTGGCAACATAATTGACCAGAATGAATTACAGGGCAATATTGAAGGATGAAGAGACATTGCAAGAACACAAACAAAAAAGGTAGTAGCTTTGAAGCAATAGAATTCCAGTTGCACCTAACTAAAACCTCAATTAAGATGGACTCAAGTACTAGGTGCCACCATGGAAATCAACCTATATCAGTACTTTTCTTCAAATTATAATGTGTTTAATAGGAGTTCATACTATTTATAAGAGCAAAGAGCAGATCTTCATTTCGCACTCCAAGAGATTCCTGAACATGCTCACGAAGAACTCTCTTGGCCACATGATCTTCAGCTACTTCCATCAGTTCCTTGCTATTTCCAAGGTGAACGACATATGTATCAGGCATTTTTATCCTGTGAAGAAAAATGTGCATCAGAATCCACCAGCCTCACTCAGATATTATCAAACTGAAATTTTTAGCAGATGTAATTATTATTCTACTGTGAGGAAGGCCCAGGGAAGAGTCCACATGCAATAGAACCATTAGATTAAAAAAATAAAAAAAATACCCTAGACGCTCTTGTGTCCTAGTCTTCCAGTATTCTGCTGTTGTATGTGAATCAATCATGGCACCTGCAACAAAAGGGAGGTGCTTAACATACTCTAGTGTGAAATAATGCCCTCGCATTTCATGAATCCACCAGAGGACCTTGGGGAGGACATGGGGAACATTTTCCTTGAGAACAGCATCCAACCACTTTCCAGCAACTGCAGTATTCAAAACAACCAAATCAGCCTTAAGAGCTGTGTCTATAGCTTTCTGACCTTTAGCAGAGAAGACCTGACAGAGTGAGAAATCAACAATTAGAAAGTTAATAACATAAGCACAGAATAGACATCAGGCAGGCTATCAATTTCATCAAAATTATTATGGAAAAATGTTTCAACCATTTGAGAGTGAAAATATGCTTTTCAAAGGGGAAGGATGTAATACACCATAACTACAATGTATAGGCTGTGAAGTTATTGTCCCTTACTCACATTCCTCTCCAATTTTCATTGTTGCATAAAAATATACCCTTAAAATAACTAATGCAACCCCGAAATGTCTATAGTAAAAATATGGCCTTTGCCACATGCAATGAAGGTTCAATGATTAAAAATGTTGGTCAAGACTTGAGAAACTTGATATTCAGTAAATGCAGACACTGCACAACATGGTAAAGTTACTCAAGAGTCAGAGCATAACAAAACCATGAGCTCAAAGTAAATCTTGCATGCCAGATTTAATACTACAATTCACACTCCAAGCCTCCAACTGCATTTTTTACTTCAATAGTTTCACTGCAACACACTTCATTAGTCATTGTCTGTAAATTAAATGGCAAGACAATGTAAAGAGATTGCATTGCGAATTTATATCATTATGTCGAACTTCATGACTGGATTGAGGAAAGGGAGACCAGAGAGAACTCTTGACCTTATCATTTTACAACTAGAAATATTAAAGAGTTCAACGAGACTAAGTAGCAAACACAAGATCCAGTTGAAAACAATATGCAAGTTGTGTCAACGTTCAGTCTCAATTAACATCATTAATGCTAATTTATGACAATTTAGCATCAAGCATTAATAACTAAAAAGGAAAAATAAAGTAAGCAAACTCAGAATCACCTCCACTCCTCGATTCAACATCTTATGCTCCAAACTATAGATCACTTCATCAGATTCCGTCAGTTTCTGATTAGTGATCCAAACAACCTCAGCGCCAACTCCTCTCAACAGAAACGCAAGTTCCATCAACAACAAAGGTCCACCTGCACATTCATTATACTCTCTTATCCTCCATTTTCCCGATATGCAAACAGAAAAAAAAAGAAGTTTAAAGAAAAGAAAATAGTGAAAGAAATTACCAGAAAGAGATAGTTCATGAGAGACCAAGAGAACGAGCTTGGACTTCATGAAATCGAGCGGATTCGGTTTCAGTGATTGAGCAGTTTTGCTAACTTCTGTGTCAGTGATTTCCGTTCCTTTTTCTTCAGAGAAGTGTCTGCCAATGCTAGCTTCAGAACTTGAGCTAATGGAGCAAGAATCGAAGGCGGATCTAATGAAGAAAACCGTAGCTGTAGACAGTGAGAAGAGCAGCAGAATCATCAATGGCCATCTCTTCTTCCGCATTCCAGTCCAAGCGCCTGGAGATTTCCCCATTCTTCTTCTGACTCTTCCTTCCCACGGTTCTACGATTCCGATTTCCGAGTCTTGAATCTCTCATCCGTGTGAAAATCTCAGAAGTGAGAACTGTTAAAAGGAATGATCTGAACTCGTTTAATGATTCGCCGCTCGGGCTCAATGAGAATTCTTAACGGTTTTCGGGCTTCTTCTGGACATAATAGGGATTTTGGGCCTATTCCTATGGACCTGCTTCTTCAACTGTTCCCACTTCTCAAAAGTATGGACCTACGGTGATACTATATTATTAATATTCGATTAGGAGTCTAATCCAGCCCAAAATTGTTGCACACCCCTTGATTTTCTTTCCTTTCCCAAATAACACAAATCGAAATTGAATAATAATTCCACTTATCTCAGTATACAAAATTTTAATTCATATTTTTTTTGTTGAACATTAACTTATATCAATTTATAATTTTCAATTCAGTTGATAATTTAAAAAATCAATAATTTTACACCATAAAAAAAAAAAAGACTTAAGATTTAGTTAAAAATGTGTAACTCTTATACAAAGTTAATCATTTTACATTGTTAAATGATGAAAAATAATTAAAGATAATCTTTTATACAATCTTACGTGATATTTAATTATTGATTATTTTTATTTTATTAAAATTTATAATATTATATATATCAATTTATTTAATAATATAAAATTATAAATAAAAATTATACAAATGAATTATCCACGTATCATTATCATTGTTGACAAACATAATCAATAGTTACTTATACTCAATATATAAATTATTAATCATTGGTAATTTAGAAAATGCTAAGAATATAATATTTTAAAACATAATGTTGATATATAATATAAAGTTTTGTGTGTGTGTGACAAGTTCTTTTCATTAGAGAAGTCACATGTGCCTATAATAATTTTATAATATTACATATATAGATTCATTTAATATCACATATTATAAAATTTTAAAATGGTAGCATTGCTATTTTAATTTCAACCGTGATTTTGTAAGAACCATCACATGCAAAATGAAAATAGCCAATGTTTATATATTGACTATGCTTTTTAAGAAAATTTCCATTTAAAATATTATATATAATAATATATATGTTTATTTAATATTATATTATATATTTTCTTTTTTATTCTATGGGAATTGCATAAAGAAAACGAAGAATAAAAAATAAAAGAATTCAAACAATAATCACATGAGTTATGCATCATATTCAATTATATATATTATATTATATTATATAATCGTATATGCATAATAATTTTAAGTTTTAGGATATGTTTGATATAGTCGATGAGAAATCTCTTTTTATTTTAAAAGTTTCAGCTACATCAAATATTATATTATAAAAAATATTATAATTTTTTATAATTTAGTGTTTTGTCTATTTTATTATAAATTTCAGAAATATTAAATTAATATTTTTATAAAAATTTCTCATTTAAATTTTAATAAAACTAATAATTTTTTTTATTTTATCTTTATTCTTTTATTTACAAAAATAACATTTCTACTCTAATTTCTTCCCAACCAAATTTCTATTAAAAACTCCACCGACAGCAAAGGCCACTTGATTTGTAAGAACCGTCACATACAAAATGAAAATCGCCGCATTCTGGATGAGGTGAGCGTGAGCTCCATCCAGCTCATATTTGCTTAATTAATTAATTAACTAATGTAAATAAAATGAATGAATTGGCGGCAGACATAATAGCCGTTAGCCGCTAACCGGAACGGCGCCAACTATTACCGTTTAGAAATCCTCCGCGTGGAAACAACGTAAGACTTTGTCCCTCTCACCAACTGCGACGATTCCATCTAACACTTTCCATTTCTTTTTTTTCTTATTTTATATTCTCATTTTCCTCATCTTAATTGAAAAAAATAAATCTAACCAATCAGAATGGTTCAGATGCTTGCCTCATTTGGAGCACGAGAAAGACAGAAGAAGCGAAGGCATTATGCGTTGAAAGGAGACTTAAGGGCGGGTAATAGGTCTACCTACTGGTAGTTAGGTTTTGAACTCTCTTAAGCAATATAACAAACAACCACCACGCGATTGCTTCATTTTAAGATCTCTCTAGCAAAAAATTTTTGATCTTTTTGGTTTTGAGTTGAAAACCTGAGTTGGGTTGGGTCTCGTTTTCACTTTTTAGCTGAAATTTTCAATCTTTTGGTTCTGAATTGAAAGTCTGAGATGGGTTTGGTCTGGTTTAACTTTTAGCAAAATATTTTGTAACTTTTTTGTGGTTTCAATTGATGGGTTTTTTCTGTCACACGTGGGATTCTTGGAATGATTGACAGTTCGATACAGAAGTGTTCTCAAATATTCTTCCTTGTTTTCATAATTTGTTGAATAATTTATTGCAGTTGTTGTCACCCAATTGTTTTTCTGCAATATTTTATTGGTGGAATTCGGAATTATATATTACTTTTTGTTGGGTTGGTGTCGATGTTCCAATGATACGGAGGTTGGTTACGTTTGGGATTATATCTCTTGGGATTGGTTTTTGTCTCCGTGTTTTTCAGCTTCTTTCTGCTCCCCGCTAGAGACGCAGCTTATCCTGGAGCTTTCAGGTATTTCACTTTACCATTTCCTCTTTTTTCCCATCTTTTTCTTTGGGGGTTTTTGATACTGGTAATGATTGATTGATACTGTTTTTTAAAAAAATTAGATTGATGATTGTTTGTGTTTGTGGGTTCTGAGTTTAAGTGTTCAATCTGTATCATGATGTTAGAAATAGGAGAGAGCATAAAGGGTTTTACGTTATGGGTTTTGATTTTAGCTCTTGGATGATGATGATTTCATTTTTGTTTGTTAAGCCCTTCTTTTTGCGTATGGTTCTGGTATTGGTTTGTACTGTGTATTTTGGGAATTGACGTGTTTTCTGAGTTTGGCTGTGATTATGCTGTTTATGGATTTACTTAATTGTGTTCCTGATTTCAGCATCAGCTGTGAGTCTATGATGATGAACAGAAGAAATAGGAAATAAAGAATGAAAAGCTAACGTGAAAAAGTTACCTTTGGCTTTTCAAGAACCATATGGCTCTGGGTTCTCAATACCCGGATGATTATTTCTCTCTTTTGGATGTCATTTGTTACATGATTCATTTTGATTTTCCTTAGATTAGTATATTGACAAATGAGTTTATTCTTACTAACAATATCTAATGCAAAATTTAACTGTAGAACTGAAGGATGGTTTTCAGGACGATGGAAGGAAATGAATTCTTCCAAGGCTAGGGGTGGAAGAATTAGTTCTAACTTTTTCCTCTGGTTCTGGTTTAATGGAGTTTTGTGTTAATTTATTTTTGTTATGCTTTCCTTTCCTCTCCCTCCAAGGATATCTGGTACAAAGGAACTCACTTGGTAGAAGTTTTTGTTCTATCTAGTTAGGGAAGGATATTTGATGCTACCTTGCTGTATTTTCATGACTTTTTTGGTTTCTCTGATTCTCTTGATCCTGCATATTTCGGGAAAAACTTATGAGCTAAGAAAAACCATGCTAGAATCTGGCTTTAGATTGGATGATATGGTATGGGAATTTCAAATACCTGACTTGTTTTATTGTGATCTTTCATTTTGTAGGGTTGATTAGCTGATTAGTGTTTTGTTGGGAGGTACCCATTGCTGTGCAAACATTTGAGTTGACGTGAGAATTATAAATGATTCATCATCCGTTTCTTGTTGCTCAACTTAAGGAAGCAAATTATGGCTAGTTTTCTTCTTGGTAGCTTAAGCCATCAAAAAGAGAATTTGCCAACTTCATATCTGGTGGACCAGAAAGCTATCTCTTGTGTTGGATCAACTTGCAATCCTGATAGCTCAATGATATATCTAAATCAACCTTCTGCTGGGGAGTTCTCAGAGATCTTGTCTGGTAGTTCTTTATCTCTTCAGAACTGTGTTCAAATCCCATCTGTTGGAGGTAGAAGTGAAATGTCCTTCATTCCACCTACCAGTGACACAGTGAATCTGCATTCTGTCGGTGGGCGGTTGAATATTGCAACAAGTAGTCAAATTCGCAACCCTCTTATTGTGAATCCCCAGGTAATACCAAGGACACGGCAAAGTATTTTGGATGGTGAGCAGAGTTTTCAGTCTCAAGGATTGTCTTTAAGCCTTGGCACTCAAATACAATCTGCAGTTCCTCTACCTTCGTTTCAGTACCAGTGTCAGGGTTATTCTTCCCTCTTCAGTAATTATCTTCCATTTTCTGGAAAAGGAGATCATGGCGATGAGAGCAAAGGGGGTATTGAGTTGAGAATCTCTGATGGTAGTTTTGCCGGGGGAAGCAGCAATGCTTTTGATGCAGAACCTTTTACCAATTCTCAGGGCTCAGTAAGTCAGAAGGGGATTCATTCCAGCATATATCAGTATGAACAAGGCTTTTCAAATACAATTTTAAACTCTAAATACCTCAAGGCAGCTCAAGAATTACTTGATGAAGTGGTTAATGTCCGAAAGGCTTTGAAACAGCCCGATTCTAATAAAGATCAAAGTTCTCAACCCAAATCTGCTGGGGGGATGGCAGCAGAACCTAGTGACTCAATTACCAACTCTTCATCCGAGCTATCGCCTGCAGAACGACAGGAATTGCAGACCAAGAAAACAAAACTATTGTCTATGCTGGATGAGGTAAGCCTCTGATTTCATAGTGCTCACCTGTTACCCTGTGAGCTTTATTTGGTCTGGATTCTGTTTTAGCTGGCATGGCCCTGCCTCCACAGTGCTCAGTGCTATTCATTTGTTTGGTTGTTGATTGTATACATTTATGTCCTTTTTTAGTTCTTTCATTTCATTTTGATGTAGCTATGATCCCTTTTTTTTCTCATATATTATTTGACCTGCAGATTATGATTTAACTTGCTGCAGTCAATTTGAAGGACCACTAATATTATGCCCTTTTGGTAGGTTGATAGAAGATACAAGCAATATCACCATCAGATGAAAATTGTGGTGTCATCTTTTGACTTGGTAGCAGGGCATGGAGCAGCTAAACCATACACAGCACTTGCCCTCCAAACAATATCCCAGCATTTCCGCTGTTTACGTGATGCAATAAATAACCAACTTCAGGTGGCTCAGCGAACCCTGGGTGAGCAAGAAACTTCATCAAACAGCCAAGGAGGAATAATACCTAGACTCCGCTATGTGGACCATCAGCTCAGACAACAGAGGGCTCTTCAGCAATTAGGTGTGATGCGACATGCTTGGAGGCCTCAAAGAGGGCTTCCTGAGAGCTCAGTTTCAATACTCCGTGCTTGGCTTTTTGAGCATTTTCTTCACCCGTATGTGCCTGCATTCTTATAATGCGTATTCTGCTTATTAATTTTCAAGAACTTCGTCCACTAATATCCCCCCCTTTTTCACTTTTGACCAGCTACCCGAAGGATTCAGAGAAAATCATGCTAGCAAAGCAGACGGGTCTGACAAGAAACCAGGTAGACAGATTAAACCGATTAGTTGTTGACTGGTGAATACTGAATATTGAGTAGACAATTTCTAGTTGAAGCTTGTCTAACTGATTCCAACCTTAGTTTAATAAATCATAGTGAAAGAAATATTAAAGAAATAAACTTTTTTTTTTTTAATCAGGTTGCAAACTGGTTCATAAATGCAAGAGTACGTCTTTGGAAGCCCATGATTGAGGACATGCACAAAGAAGAGTTTGGTGAGATGGAGGCAAACTTGAAATCTTCTCCAGAAAATGCTGCCAAAGCACCCAGAGAGAATTCCTCAGCATCTGAGGATGGGGGAGAAGATTTGCAGGAGAATATGACTTCCAAAGTTGTTGATACTGATGGTGTTCAATCAGGACAAATACAACGATTCAATACAGATAGCTTTCTGGATGGAGAACTAAACAGGCCCATAGAAAGATCAGTGTACCAAAATAATGTTCGTGGACTTCCTGGCTTGAATACAGGAGTAATGAAATTTTCAGTTGATCAAAGGCCTAATCCTAATGGCAGTAACCTTTATGGGGGCACTATTATACCATCCAGCCAGAGTGGTAGCGTTAGCCTTATGGCTGGCGATGCCATGTATGATTTGCCAGAGTTGAATGATTTTGGGGTCAGCAGCCAGGTATCACTTGCACTGGGGTTACGGCATCATGAAGATAACAACAGAGTGGCTCCTTCCATGGGGCCTGAGACGGTGGATTTCCATTGCATGGATCCTGGAAATCAACATGACAGGTTTGCCAATCCCCACGTTTTACATGATTTTGTAGTGTAAAGTAATGTCTACCATTATGGATCAGAAAAAATCTTTATTGTTTGTTAGGCAAAGGATTGCATAAAGTGATGACAAGCCCGAAAAGAAACAACATCCTCCAAGATGTTAGTTCATTGTCACTGTTCTATTTGCCTATGTTGTTTCAAGAAGGCTGATGCAATACACTATGGAAATAGAATATAGCCACATAGGTAGGGATTTATATGTTTCCCATTTGTAACGTACAAATGAATAATAGGTCATATTTGTAAAGGCATATTATAAAACTGTAGCTTATGTGTTCTGCTGAATAAGAAACCTTGTACAAATCTCGAGTGTGACATTGATGTATATTGTTTTGAAAATAATATGAGAATGCATGAATATTATCTCAAGATTCAGGATGTGTATTCCGTAATATTTGATTCAGTCATACTTGAAGTTTCCACTTATTCTGGTCATATTATAACACGAGGCTTTGATTTCCTAGTTACTCCGTAAGAGGAGGCAAATGAAAAGTGAAAACCTCTCTGATCCTTGTATCAGTTCCCATGTTTAATATCATTAGACGAATTCAAGACCTCTAACATTAAAGACAGGCAGAATTTTCATGATTTGAAAGTAATATTTCTCCCGCCTATGGTGATAAGGAATTAGATAAGGCTTAAGAGAAAGTCTTTTCGAAATTTACTGAGAGAGTTCGGCTATGGAGTGGGCCTCTTCGGTTTCAAATAATACAGAGAAAGCTATGGAACCGGAGAGCGACAAGTGAAGGAAGCCAAGGGAACAAAAGATAGCAATCATTACTAAAGACACCCAAAGAGACCAACCCAAAAACATACATCCCCTAGTCGATTCCATCCCCCTCTGCCCAACAAAACCAGCCTTTCTTTTACCCTTTTCCCTTCTCACGAGACCTCATTTACATTTTGACATTTTCTGTACAGAAATGTGATTTTTAGTGTCCTTTCACCATCCCCTCTCTCCCCTATAACAGCTAACAGCAAAAAGCTTGATATTCCCATATGTCTACAGATTCACAAGCTGGCAATCTTAAAACTAAGAGTGTGCAAAAGATAGCCCACTTTTTCTCCTTTTTTTACAGACTACAGTAACCCAGCTGACAGAAGTCAGAAGAATTTAACATATTGGGAGCTCTCCTTGCATGACAAACAAGAGAGAGAGTTAACACTGCTGTGTGTTTCAAAAGTACTTTTTGAATATCCCAAGGAAATGAAACTGCAGGCATTAAAGCTGAAGGATTGATGCTTTTGCTTGTTGTTTTATAGTCAGGGAAAATGGGGGACCAGTTTTATTCATCTCTTTCAAAGAACTAGCAGAGGTCTATGTATCTAGGTCCTCTATCTTCTGGCTGCTTAGATTCAGACCCCTTTCTTCTGTTCATTTATTCAGCATTATTACATGTTGTACACTCAGAAGACAGGTGCCTACAATGTTTTTGACAAAGACAAGTTTAGTTAGTTTCATTACAAGCTTTTAATTGTCTTTTCAACTTTATTAGTTCCTCAATTTCTCCCAATCTGGAGCTGAAGTTACTTAACAATGGCTTCTTCCTCTCGTTTTCAGTAATTCTGATCCCTGTAATTTCGATGTTTCTCTCTCTTTGAAGTAGCTTTCGGAGACCCCAATTTCTGTCATGAGAGCCATTACTTCAGGTGGCCCTTGTTTCCATCCAGCCTCATCAGTCCCCATTACTCCGCTTTTAATGCTAGTCATGTGGAAATTCTAGTTCTTTCTTCCTTCTTCCTTCATAAAATAACTCATTTACTCACCGTTCTTCGTTTTTCTTTTCAATTATGGTGTCACAAAATTCACCCTCAAATCCATCTTCTGCAATGCTTCACCAATTCATCATCTCTGATTCAATTTCCGGCCAGACCCAGTACGAAAGTCAGCATTTTGATGGGTATGACTCCGTTTTGAGAGGAAACACAAACACCACTTTCCCTCAGTCATCTTCTCTGGGTCTGTTACCCAGCATCCATGCTCTTGGAGAAAGAATATCTAGATCCATGGACCTTCTTCCAACTCCCATTGTACCCGAGGAACGGCAAATGATGGACCTCCTCGGAGCAGCAAATGAATCAACCCACCACACTCAACGGCTCTCTCTGTCTCTTGGTTCCCGGTTTCTCATCCCGCCAGTCTCATTCCGGCAGAGATCCTTAAATTCAGAGATCCCAAGTCCATCATACTTGGTAGCTGGAGAAGACAGAGAAGTTTGTAATCCGGGTCTCGGACACATTCCCAACGATTACTCTTTCCCAGCCTCATCCTCAACGAATCAACCTTTCACCACTGCCATAGTGAATTCCAGATATCTGAGACCAACTCAGTCCCTTCTAGAAGAAATTGTCAGCCTTGGCAGCGGCAGCTGCAGAGATATTGAAGAAAATTATCCGGCCAAGTTGTATCTCGGTGGGAAAAGAGGAGGGTTCAAACTTTCCTCTGAATTGAAAGCAGAATTCTGCAGCAACGAGATGTTATTACCGGATAAACAAGAACTTCAGATGAAAATGGCAAAGCTCATTTCTTTACTGGAGGAGGTCAGTACGAACCATGAATTTTGAACCAAAACCAATCTGAACCCTTCTGAAATTTTCACTTAAAACTTTTTTCTTAGGTTGAAGGAAGATACGAGAAATATTGGCACCAGATGGAGGAAGTGGTATCATCCTTCGAAGCAATGGCGGGTTTAGGAGCAGCGAAGTGTTATACTGCTTTAGCTCTCCAAGCCATGTCCAGGCATTTTGGGAGCTTAAGAGACGCCATTTTAGCTCAGATAAACGTAACTAGAAGGAAGTTTAGGCATGATCTGCTGAAGATCAGCAGTGGGATGTCACAACTTAGCTTGTTCGATAGAGAAAGTAGAAGCAATAGATTGTCTCTTCAGCAGCTTGGGTTGATACAGAGTCAGAGACAAGCATGGAGACCCATCAGAGGATTGCCAGAGACCTCTGTCGCCATCCTCCGCTCTTGGCTTTTTGAACACTTCCTCCATCCGTAAGTTCATTTGGTCTTATACCTCTTCTAACTCTGATATTATGCAAAGACGGTCTGAATTTTTCTCTTCTGTGGATTCGAGCAGTTATCCAACCGAGTCGGAGAAATTGATGTTGGCATCACAAACAAGATTGACTAAGAACCAAGTAAAAACATTTGAGATAATTATGTTTGAGTTTAGTCCTGAATCCTTTGTTTTTTGTATGAATTTTGATTGTTATTGGGGTTAACTCAGGTATCGAATTGGTTTATAAATGCTCGGGTTCGGCTATGGAAGCCAATGATTGAAGAAATGTACAGAGAGGAGTTTGGTGAGTCTTCAGAAGACATGGATCCATCATTAGCTAGCAGTTCTGTGGGGAGAGAAGGTAACTCAGATCAAGCTGATGATTAGAAGGAGAAAGATCAAAGTTGATTAAAGATTTTATAAAAATGATTGAGCCGAATTACATATTTGACTACATTTTTTTGATGCTTTAATGTTTCAGATTTGGAGATTTTATGAATGTATAAACCTTTTCTTTTTAATGCATAAGCAGGACTTGAACTGGGGCTTATTGACACTTTGATTTCAATTTTTGGAGAAGCAAAGCTGTGAATTTATAGTTTAGAACAAAGTTTTTCAGATCAGACTAGTTGCAAAGTGTATTTTTTTGGGTAATTTTTTATGAATTATCTACAAAGTAGTAACTTAATTATCTTACTTATAAAAATAAAGTAATAATTTGTAAGAATAAGATAATTAAAATTTTTTAATCTAAAAAATTATAATAAATCTTACATATTTATAGTAGAATCATAAATAATCAAAATTTTACCTAACTAATAGGTGTAAATATTTACATTAAAATAAAAAATAATTAAAATTTCACATAACTAATACGCATAAACATTTCCGTGGAGAAATAATGATTAAATTTTGCAAAACTAATATGTGTAAGAGTTGTGCTTATCATATGATAAAAAAAGAAAAAAAGAAAAAAAGTTGTGCTTAAATAATTATGGAGCAAAGTAAATGGTAGGTGCAATTTTGGATATTTAAGGCCAATCAATTTACAGATCGCCTGGCTGCTTTGGGTCATTCACTTTCTGTGGATTTTGCTGATTTTGTTTCCTGCCCTCCTGAGCTTACTCTTTATTATGAAGCTGATATGATGGGAATTTGCCTTCCCAGACAGTAGGTTTTTTTTTTTTTTTTGTAATATCCCAGACAGTAGTTTGTTTAAACTTAAGAAATATTTAAAACAATTTTGGATGTTTAAAACTAGAAAATATTGTTTTATTATTTGAAGAGTTTATCTAATATATGACCTTAAAATATAAATTAAAGATGTAATAAATATATTTTTTATTAAAAATAAATAATAAAAATGAATTTTTATTTTAATAATAATGTCAAATGAATAATTTTAATTAATCAATTAATTAAATTTAAATAAATTTTTATATAAATTTTTTTTTGAACAATGTTGTCATTCGACAAATTTGAACCCGCTCAAAAAAGAGGAGGATGCACTTGTGGTCAAAGACTAGTTGATTTGAAGGGTCAAATGTTATTATTTTTATATAAATTAAGTATAAAAAAATATATTTATTTTATCTTTAATTTATAAGTCACAAATAAAAAAATCTTTACTTAAATAATATTAAATTACAAAATAACTACTTTTAATCCAACACTTGAAGGTCAACTGACCTCCTTACAAGTCAAGACGTGTTTAGAACTAGTTGAACTTGGTTTAATCCCAATTCTCTTTCCCCATTCCCTTGAAGAAAAATTTCTATTGTTCAAAAAAAAAAAAAACTACTTTTAAATTAAAGAAAATTTCATCCAGTATAGTTTGAGTCTTTGAGAAGCAAAATAACAAGTTAAAAAAAAAAAAAAAGAGTAGCATAATTTTGAACATATAAAAGCTGGATCCCACCTCTCCCACGCGCACGGTGGAACAGAAACTATCAAGGCAACCAACAGTCTTGGGGTTGGGGGCCATTTATTCCCACGTGGCAAGATCAAGTTCATTTATTACAGTTCTTAATTTGAGCTTGCGCACACCATAACTCCTCTCGACAAGTGGTCTTGAAACACAAAAAAAAAAAGAGTAAAAGTTCTAGATCGTACGATCAGTTATTGTTTTTTAACCAAATTCACAAAAAAACTTTTATCTTGTCTCTAGTGGAATCAGATTGTTAGATTTTCCCCATCCCCACACAAAAAGTCACTGCGAAAAAAATACCCGACGCCACCGTCTTTCTCCGTCGTGACGCCATGACCAGCTCCTCCGCTCCTTCACGCAAGGTCCCTATCTGTTCCCTCTTTTATGTGCCTTCTTACTTACTCCGAACGCGCTTTCCTAATTTTCGTGATTTTTCAATTTCTTTGGAATTTTGACTTTCCTTTTCTTTTTTTTTTTTTTGCGTAGACTTTAAGCAAGATCGCTTGCAATAGACTCCAGAAAGAGCTTGTGGAGTGGCAAGTGAATCCGCCGGCGGGATTCAAGCACAAAGACACTGATAATCTCCAAAGGTTTCTTTACTCTTGGATAATTTCGTTTCGGTTTTGCCCTTTGGCGTTCTTGAAATCGTGTAATTTTGGTTTAATTTGTTTGTTTTCGGTGTGTAGATGGATAATTGAAGTGAACGGAGCTCCGGGGACACTGTATGCGAATGAAACATATCAACTGCAGGTTGATTTTCCGGAGCATTACCCTATGGAGGCCCCGCAGGTAAGTGATTTCTATTTTTGCAATTTTTAATTTTCCTCTCCTGTATTTTACTGATATAATTACGGAATTAAATGGAAAATAAATCTCGAAAAAATATATTGTTTTTTGCCCTTTTTTTGTAATTAAATTTGTTGTTAGATTATACTCTGTTGAGTGTTCATTAATTTTCTTGATAGTTATATATATGTGTGTGTTGATTGAGCAGGTGATCTTTCTCTCGCCAGCTCCCCTGCATCCTCACATTTATAGCAATGGACATATTTGTTTGGGTATTATCTAGCCTTTCAATTAACTAATTTTTTCAATTCCCTCACTTAAAACATGTCTCCATTTGTGATAAAATTGACACAATAATCTGTATTTATTTTCATTGTTGCTGATAATAGTAATCTTTCTACAACTAACACTTTACTTTAAATCCTCGTTGTTGTTGTTTTAAATAATTAATCCTTGTGAATGAAAGAAATTGTGTTACAAACTCATGTTACACATGTTCTAGTACTGTTTGACGGTTGGCAATTTGGTGCGAATTAATGGCGGGAGCTAGTTTGGAGTGATGGCTTTGTTGTGTCCTTGTTGTTGTCTTCTACTTTATCAAAAATGATTTCTGTGGGCAGTAAAGCTTAGGTGACCAAACACACTGCTTGTAAAATTGCAAGGGTTCATGTGTTCTCTCTTGACATTCATGATCATTCTTTTAAGGCATTTGGTTCGGTGTTTCCATCATTTGTTGTGAGCAATCTTTTTTACAAAGCAATATGGTTGTCTATTTCTATAGAAGTTTTACAGTCTGCCAACAGATTATTTTAAGATACCAGTACACTGCAGAGTCGAAGGTTCTCTGTGGCACCTTGCTTGAATGTGACATTTCTTTGTGGTGGTGCCTCAAATGCCTCATGTGATCTATCTAGCAATTCCATAACATCAACAGTTACATATTATCATTACTGTGGAACTTTTTGTTGCTGTGGGTTGTCATGTTCATTCCTTCTTCTGCTTAGATCGTCAAGATAACAGGGTGCAGGTATAATTTGTATATTAGATTTATGGTGCTGACCATAGAAAAAAAAAATTATGATGCTAAATTTTTCTGTGAAAACATTGACAAATTGATACCTTGTGTAGAGATATGTGATAAGGCGTTATGTTTTGAGCTTTTGGAAGGAGTTGTAGAGGTTATAATTTCTTGCTTTTCTAGCCTAATGCTCTGAGTAAGACCAATGCTTATAGTCTCCCTCTCTCATACGCGCACAAATGCACACACATTTTAATACACCTGCCACTTTAGTTGGGATATTTTCTAGTGATAATACTGATTTCCTTGCACGTCATTCTTTGTCACATCTGACTCAGGAAAATATTGAAAGGACGAATTGCGGATAGTGAATCAGCAAATCAAGTTCTTGATCTTTGTTATCCATTTTGTTCCTTCTGTTGTCATATGTAATCATTTAACTGTGGGCAATTTTCCTGCCAGCCAGCATTAAATATCATGTGTCATTCATATCTGCAGATATCCTCTATGATTCCTGGTCCCCAGCCATGACTGTCAGTTCTATCTGTATCAGCATTCTCTCCATGCTATCAAGCTCAACTGTGAAGGTTTGTTGGATTTGTTAATATATTGCCCATAGTTTTATTCTCCTATATCTGTTTCTTATCTAGACAAATCTGGATGTTGATGCATTCTGTCACATTGTACAGCAACGACCAGCTGATAATGATCGTTACGTGAAGAACTGTCGAAATGGCAGATCTCCCAAGGAGACAAGATGGTGGTTCCATGATGATAAAGTGTGATAAATACGATTAAGTATCTAAACCTGTGTATAAACCAAGTATTTTAACTTCTTATGTCAAGGGTAATTGGAAGGGAGGCTGGTCCTCCTAGGTGGACATGTAACATTTACATTTGCCATGTTATGTATGAAGGCTTTTATTTGAATTTGTTGCCTCCCCTAGCAAATTCCTGTACTTCAATAAATGGTTATAAATCTCCAGGAGCAAGGACCGTCCCCTTTGTGGTACAAGGATTTATGAATGATGCAGCTTGATGGGTGTTAGAGAATATATTATTGCTGCCTTCGTTCTCGGTGCCTCTAATTGTAATGTTAGAGGCTTAGAGCTATTGCCTTCTTTCACGGTGCCCCATAATTGTAATGTTAGAGCAATTATACTAT